CTACAATAACAGGGAATAAATTAGCTTTCATCATGCAGCTTTATCAACTGCATATAGTGAAAAAACTTGCAACTTGGCAACATCTTGGTGATCATATCAGCATCATTGTCATCAGTCAAAACCTTCAGCACCTGGACTTCACCATGCTCGATTATCTCTCTGACAAAGTACAGCCTCACATCAATGTGCTTGGTTCGCTCATGATAAGCTGAGTTCTTTGCCAGGTATATTGCACTTTGACTATCAGATTTAACAATGATACTTCGACTATCACATTTAACAATGATACTTTGACCTTGAACTTTCAGCTCATTCGCAAAACCTTCAAGCCAAAATGCTTCTTTCACAGCTTCAGTGAGAGCAATATATTCTGCTTCAGTGGTTGATAAGGCAATAGCCTTATGAAGCATTGCTTTCCAATTGATTGTTGTATCGAACATAGTGAACACATATCCAGAAATAGACTTTCTGGAATCCATACAACCTACATAATCAGAGTCGACAAACCCTTCTATTTCGAATTTTCTATCATCACCACAGGCTCCACCATAAATCAATACTCTTTTCAAAGACCCAGTTATGTACCTGATAATCCACTTTACAGCTTGCCAGTGCGTCGTTCCAAGATTGGCCATATACTTGCTTACAAGGCTCACACCATACGGTATGTCTGGCCTCGTACATATCATAACATACATCAAAGAACCTACTACACTAGCATATGGAATGCTACTCATATAAATTCTTTCAGTTTTAGTACTCAGATTTTGAATAGTACTAAGCTTAAATTAAAGATTTGTCAGATTCACAATAGGCTTTGAATTCGACATACCAAACTTGTCGAGAAGCTTCTGTAGGTATGTCTCTTGAGATAAGCATAACTTAGACTGCTTTCTATCTCTTCGGATGTCAATCCCAAGAATCCTGGTGGCAGCTCCCAGATCCTTCATTTTGAATTCCATGTTGAGTTCAACCTTCACCTCTGTTACATCCTTAACACTGTTTTTACCTATGAAAATATCATCCACATAAAGCAACAAAATAACAAGTGAGTTTCCAGGTCAAAATCTGAAGTAAACACAGTGATCGAGCTGGCTCCTGGTGAAACCAATGTGTGTCATGAACTTGTCGAATCTTCTGTTCCACTGTCGAGGAGATTGTTTCAAGCCATATAAGGACCTATTCAGCTTGCACACATAATCTTCCTTATCCTTTTTTGCATACCTTTTAGGTTGACGCATCAGGATCGTTTCGTCTAGGTCACCATACAGAAATCTTGTTTTCACATCCATTTTCTCATGTTCCAAGTCGAACTTCGCCACCATGGCCAAGAACATTCTAATGAATCTATGCTTTACAACATGCGAGAACACGTCATTAAAGTTGACACCTTCTTTCTGAGTGAACCCCTAGCAACCAACCTTGCCTTAAAACGCTTCGACATCACTTCTTCAATTCTTTCCTTGACCTTGAAAATCCACTTACAACTGACTAACCTTGCTTCTGCAGGTTTCTTAATCAGCTCAGTGTTATTATTATGTAGATATTTCATCTCGTCATCCATGGCGTTTCTCCATTCAGTCTTGTTTCGACTCCTCATAGCTTCCTTGTAATCTCTAGGTTCTTCCTCAAGTACCTCACTTGTAGAGATTAAGGCAAAAGCTATAAAATCTGCATAACCAAGTCTCTGAGGTGGCTTGCTGACTCTTCTCAACCTTTCTCTTGCCAGTAGGTAGTCATCGATAATTTCTTCAGTTTCTTCATCATCTTGCTCTTCTTCTTCGACTTTGTCTGGGTTATGCACTTCAACATCACTATGCTCCACCTCAATAGGAATCTCTACTTGCTCCTGCTCCTCTTCAGATATTTCTGCACTTCGACCAGCATCACCAATTTTCTTGAACGCCATATAGACTTTATTGAAAACTACATCACAACTTGTGATACATCTTCTGTGACCTGGTTCTAGGCACCACAACCTATAACGTTTGACTCCCTCAGGATATCCAAGGAACATGCATCTCAGAGCTCTAGGTTCGACCTTGTCTTGCCTAATATGAGCATATGCTAAACAATCAAATACTCTCAGTTTGTCGAGATTAGGTGGTTGACCCGACTAAACTTCTTCAGGTGTCTTCATTCCCAAGGCAGATGAGGGACATCAAATAAGTTGATGTTGAAACAGCCTCCACCATAAACACCTTTTTCAATACAGCATTAACCAACATGCATCTAACCCTTTCAAGGATTGTTTGATTAAATCTCTCAGCTAAGCCATTTTGTTGAGGAGTACCTGCTACAGTCTTATGCCTTGCAATCCCAGACTCAACACAGTAACTGTCGAAAGCTTCATTGTAGAACTCAAGGCTATTGTCAATTCTCAACCTCTTAACCTTTCTGCCAGTTTGAGTTTTGACCAGAACCTTCCAACTTTTGAAATTCTCAAAAGTTTCATCCTTAGTCTTCTAAATGAATACCCATAATTTTTTGGGACAGTCATCAACTATGGATAAAAAATACCTTGCACCTGCATGTGAAGGATTCCTTGCAGACCCCCAAAGATCAACATGGATGTAATCAAGGGATCCATGTGTTCTTTGTTTACCTTTGTTAAACTTCGCCCTATAGGATTTGTCAAACACACAAGGTTCACAAAACTCCAACTTCTCGACTTTGCCACTACCTAGCAAGTTTTGTTTCCCTAGTTCGACCAGGCCTCTTTCGCTGACATGAACCAATCTCATGTGCCATAATTATGTCTTTGACACCGGTTTCGTGGATGCAAAATCTGTTGAACCACTTACAACCTCAGCCTCAAGGGTATATAAGCCTTGTTTCTTCACGCCTCTCAAGACTTCCTTCGACCCCTTCATGAATTTCAGGATACCTTGCTCTCCTTTAAAGACATATCCTTTCTTTTCGAATTCACCAAGAGAAATAAAATTCCTCTTGAGATCAGCTACATACCTAACCCTAGTCAATAGCCTTATTGACTCATCACGAAGCTTGATTCTAACAGATCCAATACCTGCAATCTTGCAAGCTTTATTATTTTCCAACAACACTGATCCACCATCTTGATCACATAATTCTTCAAACACATTCTTGTTTGGATTCATATGCCAAGTACATTCAGAATCCATAATCCACTCTTTGCAAGAGTTGCTTCTCAACACCACAAGGACATCAAATGATTCATAATCATCTTGCACAATAGCTGCATTGCCATTGTCCTTACCTCCATGATCATTCAGGCGCTCAGGACACATCTTTCTTGTGTAACCCTCCTTCTTACAGTGATGACACTTAATCCTAGAAATATCACCACCATAAGACTTCTGCTGAGTTTTACCTTTCTTCTTCTTAAACCTACCATCTCTCTTTGACGATTTCCCTTTACGAACAACCCTTCGCCAACTGATGATGATGGTTTCTACTCCTTTGTTTTGTTCAAATCCTTCGAACACAAGGTTGCTTGAACTTCTTCAAAGATTAGGGACTCTCTTCTATACAAGAGGGTTTCTTTGAAGTGAGCATGTGACATAAGTAAAGAACACAACAATAACAACGCTTAATCTTCATCATTGATGGTAACATCAATATTTTCAAGATCAAGCATCAGCTTACTAAACGTATCCAACTGCTCCGTCAACGCTTTATCTTCATTCATCTTGAATGAATACAAAGTTTGCTTTAAGTACAAACGATTCATCAAGGACTTTATCATATACAATCCTTCGAGTTTCAGCCAAACACCAGTTGATGTACCTTATCACCAAGACTTAGAACAATTATGTTGTAGGCTTTCTCGATCATCGTTGTCTTTTCCTTCTCCTTCAATGCAGCATCCATGACATCTTCTCCCTTTAACGCTTCTAGCAAACCCTGTTGATGAACAAGAAGGGCTCACATCTTCAAACGCCATAAACCGAAGTCATTAACTCCAATGAGCTTCTCAATCTCAAACTTTGTTGACGACATCTTCTCCACGCTCAACGCACCAGTTTGTTGTGATCACAAGCGATACCTTTCAACAAATAAAGATTGAGAAACAGAGTTCTTGGATGAATAATGAAAAGATTAGAACAAAGAGAGAAAGAAGAAAGGATAAAGAAGAAAAAAAAGGATTAGAACAAATTGTTTACTATTCACTTTCTCATTTAGGGTATTACAAATGATTACAAATGAATACCAATTGACTTCACTCAACAACCTAAGTGATTAACACAAGGTCCAATTCGACATAATAAGTCAACAATATATATTTCGACATTACATACTATAACTAGCTTCGACTATAGTATGTAATCCTTCGACATCAGTATGTGACCCAACTTCGACTTCATGCTTGTCTCTTGTCGAAACACATGAAAGCTATTCCTCAATAAAGATAGAGTTCGACTTAAAATCTCACATATATAACATAGGACTAGTTTTGAAACATTCATAATAGCTCTTTAGGTAAAGAAGTTCGTTTGTTGGTTTTTTTTTTTTTGTTTTTGTTTTTAAGATTTCAATAATTTAAAAAGATTAAGATGAATAAAAAAAGCCAATTTAACATTTAAAAAAACTAAATTAAAAAAAACTAAAGTGAAAAGTCTGTGTTTTTTTAATTCGTTTTATTTAGGAAAGGGAAAAAGAATATTAATCAAGTTTGCTACATTAGTTTAGGTTAGATTTGGTTAACAATGATGATAAAAAAGTCAAGACATTTATTTAAAGACTAAAACTTATTGAAAATATTTAGTAGGACTAAAAATTAAAATTGGAGATAATTATAAAAAATTAACTTATTCAACTTTTAATTAAAAATAAAATAAATTTTATAATGTCACCACTTGAAGGACATATATGTAAGATAAGATAATAAGGCATAGAGATAAGGTAGGAATTGCTGTAAACACTTTCATTTACATCCACACATGTTCAATACACTTAAAACATTATCTGCATATGTGAGTCATAGCTAGAAAATCTAAGGAGAAAAAGAAAAGAAAAAGATGGAAAATCTAAGCCTGAAATTAAAGCTTCATCTTCCAAATTCCTCCAACCCTTCTTGTTCTCTTTTATCTCCAAAAAACCATCCATTATTCATCAAACCAAACAAAGTATTAAACATCAAAAACATGAAACAAACACCTTCAAAATCTTCTGCAATAAAGATCACAAAACAAACTCCAGTTGTTGAAGATGCACCAAGGACACAACAACAACCAATGAAGCTTCAAGTTCTTGAAACTGGGAATTCAAGGGCTATGGTAATAGGAGCAGTTTCTGTTGGAGTTTTGTTGCTTCTGAGTGGAATGGATGAACACAAGGCACTGGCTTTGGGACCTGAAGGGCCACTGGTGGAAGAGTTTTGGGATAATGTGAGAAGGTATGCATTGTATGCACTAACGGTTAGTACAGGTGCTATTTATACAATCATGGTGCCTATATTTGAGCTTTTGAAGAATCCAATAACCGCGATTCTTATTGTGGCTCTCTTTGGTGGTGGGTATTATATTGTTTCTCAAGTTCTTTCTGCTATGGTTGGCATTTCTGATTTTAGTTATGATTATGGAAACTAGATATATAGATTCATATGTAGATTGATGAAAAATCAGTACAATTTTGCATGCTGCAAGTTGATTTTGATTATCTGCTTTCTGCTATCAATTATGTTATGATATGGTTGCATTTGGATTAATGGTATGTTTGGTTGTCATGTTTTGTAAATACAACTACATAGTTGTTGTTGCACTGGCTATGGCTAATTGCGATTGCAATCATTGCAGTCGTACTGATAACGTGATTTTAAATCACACTGCAATTTCGATTTGCAATTTCGATTTGATTTTGATATTAGAAATTACCACATCAGTAAAGTCATGGCTGCTTAGCTCGAATTCAAAATTTCCAACTTCTTGATTTTTGAATTTATGAGTTTATCCACTAAACTACTTGAAAAAGAAAACACGGTTGTTAAATTAGTTAATATAGTTTTACAGTTTAAAAGTGAATAATTGAAATGATGTGAGTTCGAATTCATGTCTAATAAGCCGATGTTGTTCTTGAAGTTACCCATTGAGCAGAATTTACTGAACTTATTTAGGAGAATTTTAAAAATGATGCATTAGGATGCTGTTTAAGGCATGGTCAATGGGATTATGATTGTACAAATTATGTTTAGGGCTTCTACTTAAGTCTATTTTAAGATTCAAATTCATCAAAATTGATTGAAATTAATTTATACTAATGGACAGGTTTTTAGTTAAAGGACTGTTTTGCACTTGATAAATGTAGACGTGATTCTGAAGATGTATTTCTAGAATGCTTTGGCAGTAAGTGTCATAAATTAATATTTTTTATTTAATAATGATTATATTAATGATGATTATCCAATGATAATTATATTATAAATATATTAACACCATGCTAATTATAATAATGCAATTCTATCCAATGATAATTATATTAACACCATGCTAATTATAATAATGCAATTCAAGGATGTTTGATATAAATTCAAATGATACAAATCTAAATGTTACCATACTACATAATCCAAATGTTACCAAAATACAAATACAAATAAACTAAAAGGTATTTCCAAACCCCTGTTTCTCCTTTGTTGTCGCCTATATCCTAAAGCATTTTGTGTCTCGAGTAAGATGGTTTGTAAGGTAGCCATACTAGTGTTGTCTTCCGTAATGTCTCCTCTCTCTTAGTGACATCTCTTGCAACCTGCGCAATACACTGACCAACCGACAAGAGGTCTGTTGTATGGCCATCCCTAGCCCGTTCCTATTCGAATATCTCTTGATGACCAGGTCTAGGTGGTGCATCCATGGCATTTGGTGTCACGTAAGAATGTGACACTCGATAAAACCATTAGATGTAGCCATGTTCATAAGCCTATGGTTCACCCGCTGGCACACTACGCACCTCCTCTGATACTAGATAACAATACAAATCATCAAGTATGGTATCAAGATCTATGTGGTGAGTTGTCAGAGGAGCAGACATTAAATAAAGTCTTTAGGTTATCTGAAACACTATTACAAAAAAAGGATTTGACTTGGACGCAAAAAGGATTTAACCTCAGTTACACATGAGAGGTAATGAAGGACGTCATGAAAACTTGTCACTTTATCTATCGATTTTGGAATAACCCATGAGTAAAATGCTCTACACATCAGTTCGATTCTTAACTTCTGCATTTTTATTATTTTCAGAACTAGACGACGCGCCCTCCATTACCTCTTGGTTATTTGAGAAATTAAGGTACTAGATTAGCATTATTACCATAGTTTAAAATAATAACCGAGGGAAAAAGATTGATACTTAATTTTTTTAATTTTTAATTTTTTATATATTGGTTTTAATCTGTATTACAGAACCATATTTTGACCATTTCTGAAATAGAACATTATTATATAACCATATTTTGGTCATTTCAGAAACAGATATGTACATTTTGCCCATTTCTCAAACAAAATCGTTGTATCAAATTTTTTTCATTGTTTACCCCCATTTGCAAAGGCAAAATGGCACATGCACACCTTATAATTTTACAAAAAATTAAAACTAACATGCAATAACCATTTTCAAAGGTAAACTAACAAAAACAATAACCAAAATAAAAAGTCTTGTAGGCAGTCCAAAAGTTCTCTTCTTTAATTTGTCACTTAGTGTTAAACACCTATAATTTAAAACACATTTGAAACCAACTAAGATCATCATCAACAACAACAACATCAAATATTTAGTAAAAAGAATATAAGTGATATAAAACATTTACTTACTAGTTTTTCCATATACCTGTCATGCCCTAATTTTTGACCCTAAGATTCTATTTTTTTCTCGTTCTGCATAGCATAGCATGCACTTCATCTTGCATAGTGTCTGAAATACCAGTCAGAATAAATTTGTTGGATTTACAGACAAACTAGTCTAAATTTATTTCAAAATTTGACCAAACACTGTATTTTTCTAATATGTTTATTTCGCGCTGATTATTTGGTGTGTTCCTTTTATTTTTTTCGAGCACTTTTCCGCCCGAATTTTATTTTGTTTTTAAATCATTTTTATCAATTGTATTTAAATAATCATTTAATTTGTTTAAATTTAATTAGATATTTAGTTTAAAATTTTATTTTTAATTTGTTTATTAATATTTTCTTTTTTATAAAAAAAAACACAAAAATGTGATTTTTAATTCTTTTTATTCTTGTCTTATTAGAAAAAAAAATACAAAAACATGATTTTTAATTCTTTTTATTCTTGTCTAATCATAAAAAACATAATTTTTAATTTTTTTTATTCTTGTCTTATCATAAGAAATATTTAAAAAAATAATTTTTAACTCTTTTAATTCTTGTCTTATTATAAAAAACACAAAAATATGATTTTTTTATTCTTTTTATTCTTGTCTTATTATAAATAATACAAAAACATGATTTTTAATTCTTTTATTCTTGTCTTATCATAAAAAACACAAAATATGATTTTTAATTTTTTATTCTTGTCTTAATATATATATATATATATATATATATATATATATATATATATATATATATATATATATATATATATATATATATATATATATATATATATATATATATATATATATATATATATATATATATATATATATATATATATATATATATATATATATATATATATATATATATATATATATATATATATAATGTTAATTGTTATTATCATTCGTGTCTATTTTCTAGTCGTATTTATATGCATTAGGAAAAACCAAGAGGACAATAAGAAAAAGACAGAAAAAATTACATACACACTTCTCTTTTTTTTTCTCACGTTAATAAAAAACCTGCTCCTCAAAACTCCATTCACCAACTAGCAACATACTCTCTTCTCCATTTCATATTCCTCCTTCACCTACAAACACCTTGAAAGCCTCTTGCACATAACTTGTTTTCCCTCATTTTCAAAAGGGTTCATAACCATCATCAGTATTCTTCTCCAAGCTAATGATCTCGGAGAAGCAGTACAACAGCCGTGTGGTCACCAAACGAGCGAGAAAAAAAGAGGATGAAAGAGCTTTGAGGGAGAGCTTTGTTTCCTTTCTTGTTATGTTGTTACTTTAAAGGATGAGTGTTTTGTTTTGTGTTATACACACACACACACACACACACACACACACACACACACACACACACACACACACACACACACACACACACACACACATACATGTTTAGTATCACGTGTGTAACATTTCAATTTCAAGCTTTCTCTTGCATTTGGTCTGTATATATGTTGCAGTATGTTCATGTGTTTTTCTTTTTACCTTAGTTGGCATGAGATTGTTTGTTTCTTTTCCTTGGTCATCTCTTTCTTTTTCTTGTTGCTGGAATACACTTTCATTTTATTATATATATTGCTTTTTACTTTTTTCATTTAGCTCGGTATATCCTGTTCTTGTACATATGTCTTATAATTTTTTGGTTTTTATTTTATTTATATATATTCTATTTTATACAATTGTATATATATTCTATTTTGTTTCATCACTATGCCAAAAAAGACCTTTAGCAGCGCTTTAAAGCGCTGCCAAAAGTGGCGCTGCTAAAGGTAAAGGCAACGCTTTTTTTTATGGAAAAAGCGCTGCTAAAGGCTCCATTCAGCAGCACTTTTAGCAGCGCTTTTATAGCCCTTTAGCAACGCTTTCATAAGCGCTGCATATTCCCCCAACCATCCCCCCTTTAGCAGCGCTTTCACAAAGCGCTGTCTTAAAGCACACCTTTAGCAGCGTTTTTACAAAGCGCTGCCATAGCCCCCCCCTTTAGCAGCGCTTTTTATAAGCGCTGTCTTAGACCCCCCCCCCTTCCAAACCTATAGCAGCACTTTTGTAGCACTATGTTTGTAACCTTTAGCAACGCTTTTTTTTAAAAGCGCTGTCTAATGTCCCAGATTTTAAAATTTTGTTTTTTAAAATATTCACCCTGTTTTGTATATTAATAACCTGCTTATATTACACAAACCTGCTTATAATTCAGGCCTTTATTTCAACACTTTGGCCTTATATATACAATTCAAAACTTTGGCCTTAAATATACAATTCAAAACTTTGGCCTTATATATACAATTCAAAACTTTGGCCTTTAAGTATACATTGTAACTCATCACTTTGTTCATAATCATTTTAATACACATAAACCTGCTTAAATATGTTACAACAAAATTCAATCCTCAGAATTACAATATCACAAATACATTCAATTTACATATAATTACAATTCTTCCAATCTGATAACTTTATATAATTCTCAACCCAAGAATAAATTGACACCATTCCTCTTTAATTTCTTCCAATTTTGCTTTCGTGTAAGTAGCGCACTTGAATTCATCACAATACTACATAATATAAGAGAACATGCAAGATTTAATTTTAAAACTAATTACTCAGATGAAGTATCGGATAATTATCAAAATGAATCATATAACTTATATAATGAATTGATCCATACCATGACTGGAATCTCAAGTTGACCAAAAAGAATAATTTTCTTCATAAAGCGCAATACAAAATATCCACAGT